GAAGAATGTCTATCGCCCCCCCCCCCCCCCCCCCCCGAACAAAATGGAATTTATGTAGGAATATATATATATATATATATATATATATATATATATATATATATATATATATATATATATATATATATATATATATATATATATATACTTTTAACAGTGTCCCCCTCCCAAGAAAAAATTTGTCCGCCCCCTCACCAAAAATTTCAGGTGCCCCCCCCCCCCCCCCCCCGAGAAAAAAAATCTAGAAGAAACACTGGGAGAGAGTATCATACATAACCTTAACCTGAAGTTTCTGGGAAAATGAACGAATAGAAAATATTATTTTAGTGCTTATTAATTTCCTTACTAATTTCGACTTTTTAATTCTATGGGGGTCGCGGGTCACTTTCTTTTTATAAAAGGGGGTCGCCACTCGAAAAAGGTTGGGAACCACTGTTATACAGTTATTGACAGTTTCGTGGATAAAATAGATCTAAATATGTGGCCGAAATTTCTAAATAAAAATACTGTTAGTAATACCGTTTGCGTTTAGAGTTTAAGTAGACGAATCTGATCAAATGCAGTAATATATTATAGGTTATCTACTGTAGCAAACGTGAGACCACTTAACTCCTACAAAACCCACACTACAACGACTAATATAATCCATGGGTAATAACCAATCTGGGTAGCATGTTATACAATTTAAGACCCTTATAATCCAGCAGGGAAGCGATCAGACACATTAATACTGATGTGCAACCCTCATGATTTCCAGCCGCCACCTGTATCTAGCCCACAATAAAACCAAAGAGGAGTCTGCCCTGCCCTCCCCTGAAAACGTCTCACCTCCGTGATACCCAGCCCCAGAGAGATAGTATTTCTTATATAATTTTGACCCTCAGGGCCCAGCAGGGAGAACAAAGGGGAAAATCCCACTGCTCTCCCCTCAACATTTCTCACCTCGGTGTCATGTTATGTCATTTATAGCACACATGGCTTATCAGGGGAAAGCATTAAGGCATTAAGAATCTTAACTCTGGACAGCTACACACTAGTATACTAGCTACACACTAGGTGCCTACTGTAAACTACTAGACTGTAGGCCCTATGTACACCTGCAATTGTATCAATTGTAGACTGGGTCCATTGTTATTATTCTAAACCATCTCGCTTATAATGTTTCTAGCTTGATTTGTTTCTTTTATAAACAGTGGATTTTTTAAAAAAAATTAGCCTAATCATTAACCAAATAATAATAATGTGGTTATTTGTTGTTGGCTGGTATGATCTAGATTGTACTACTAGGCTACTTAAACTTAGTAGACCAATTACTAGATATGAATTTGAATTTAATTAAACTCAGTCCAGTATCAGATACATATTGCTGTAAAAATACAACAAAGTAGGTAGGCCTTAGTAATTTATTAAAGCCTTCTACTACAATAATATCAACTACATGCTTGTATAAAGTTTTTACAATTTAATTTAAGTAGCAGATTCTAGATCTAAGTCTAGTCATACAATCTATTTCAATTTCAGAAAATATCGTTTGCTAAAAAAAATGATTAGATTATAGAGCGAGATTTTAGATCTTAGAGACAATTAAATGCTTTATTATGCCTATTATGACTACTTTTGATTTATTATGGGCGTATTTTGAATCGAATGTAGATCTAAATTTTGTAATTAAATTTAAGTAAAGAAGTAGATTCTATGTCTACCCAGCGGAGCCAGTCATCCTAAATCCAGAATCTATATCTGTGGTCCGAATTTTGTTTACGCCATGTTTAGAGCTAGATTCTAGATCTAGATATTAAAACACTATTATTAGGCCTACTATTAGATCTTATTATTCTTATTATTACTTTTGACTTTGTCTTTTACTATTAGTATTTGTGAAGGTCGAGCATATTTGTTTTATTAATAGATTCTAGTTATCTTTTATAATTAAAATGAAGTTTATTATTTTACCGTCCTTACATGAAACAAAGTATCGAGAACTGCATTTGATCAGATTCGTCTACTTAAACTCTAAACGCAAACAGTGTTACTAACAGTATTTTTATTTAGAAATTTCGGCCACATATTTATATTATCCACGAAACTGTCAATAACTGTATAAGGATCTTCAATTCCTAAGAGTTCAAGTTTTTTAACGTATTTTTCCTTTTCCGCGGCGCGATTCTTTACATACGGAGAACACGTCCAGCGCTGGTGAACACGTCCAGCGCTGGCGAACAGCTGATTGTGTTTACGTCTGATGTACACCACTGTGGCGGCGGACGTAGGTATCACGAACGGACGTGACGTCATATGAAAGGACTCTATTGATATGGGGTCTTCCATAAATGACGTCACACTTGTAGGGGGAGGGGGATCCATAATTTTGTGACGGTGTGTGATGAGGGGGAGGGGGGGGGGGGGTTCAGATGGCGTGACGTTACTTTTTTGCATTATAAAAAAGCAATGTTAGAAAACGAGTTTTTGCCGTTATTTCGCGTTTTAGATAGCGTTTTTAATAATTGTAATAGGAATTGATCAAAATATCGATGTTTTAAGCAAAATTCAACAGCAATTTTGAGGGGGGTTGTAGGCTGAGGTGTGACGTCATTTTAGGGGGGTCGGGCTTTTTGTGACGACGTGTGACGGAAGGGAGGGGGGAGGTAAAAATCGTCCAAAAAAGCGTGACGTCATTTATGGATGACCCCTATAAAGTGATAGCGTGGTCAGCACTATGCCCATCCGTCTTTGTTTCCCAACTGGTTGGACTTTGGGACGTTATAGTGAACCTGGATTAAACTGAAGATTCTCGGTTTAGCAGTCTAGCTCTCTACCACAAGGCCACGCCGTCCCATTTATCTATCTCTCTATATATAGGATATATAAATATATAATAATATGTATGCATATATAAATGTAAATAAATATATATAGGCAATATATTTTATTATGCATATACATTTACATAAATAATCCTATATGGGGCCCAAAAGTTTTTATTTTTATTTTATTTTTGGAGGGTGCCTATAACTATAAGCTCAGGAAACAATAAATTATATAATTTGCAGTAGTGGTCTTGGAAAATGTAATAGCCTATAGGATGAGGAAAGTAATCATGCATAAATGACGTCACGCTTTTTTTGACGATTTTTACCTCGCCCCTACGTCACACATCGTCACAAAAAGCCAGACTCCTCTCCTAAAATGACGTCACACCCCAGCTACAACCCCCCCCCCCCCCCTCCAAATTGCAGTTGAATAATTCTTAAAATAGGATATTTTTTCCAAAATCTTGTCTGAACTCTTGTCAGCATAGAGTATTTTAATCAATTCCTGTTACAATTTAAAACGGTTTTCTAAAACGCGAAATAACGGCTAAAATTCGTTTTCTAACAATGCTTTTTTATAATGCAAAAGAGTGACGTCACACCATATGAACCGCCCCTCATCACACACCGTCACAAAATTACGGACCCCCTCCCCTTACGAGTGTGACGTCATTTATGGACGATCACAAAAGTAATAAAACCGGGAGTGAGCTCCCCTAAACTTTCTCGAATATTCTTATATAAAACAACAGGGGATGGTAACTCGGGATATAGACATGATTTTTAATCCATTTTAAATACTTAAACTTTTTAAAATAGAATAAAAATTTTAGATTTTATTAAAATCTCGTGGAAAAGAATTGTACACCAAGTGAACGCCAAATATAATGTGCATAATAGTGCACAATATTATTAGTACTTTATAAATTCATATTAGTTTTTTGAGAAATCGGAAATAGCTTAAATAACTACATCTGTTCAACGGAAATTACTCAAAATTTGACAGATAGATCTTTTACTTACATGTGAAATTTCATTTATCTAGCAGAAATAGTACTCAAGTTATAGGCTTTTGAATAATTCATAGTAGAAAAAGTACCACTTCCGGTTATCGGAAATCGCTCAAAAGTTGACACGTATCTACGATTTTGATATAATACTTATATATGAAATTTCATCAACCTAGCTGTAACGGTACTCAAGTTATCGTGTTTACACACACACACGGACAAGATTGCAAAACAATGTTTCTCCGACTCAGGGAGGTGTAAAACGTCGAGATTAGCAAAAATCTTTTTTTTTGCACGATTACATGAATTTCTCTATACTTTGAATATACGAGAAAGTAAAATGATATTTTTCTGTTACCACATGTGCCTATTTTAAATGTAGGGTGCGACAAGGTGCTGTTAAGTGTGCTATTGAATATAAAATTCATATAAGTTATTACCAATGGTTAACAGTACCCGTGATTATAAAGACACACTTCATTTCTTTTTGCATTAGAATAAAAAGCTTTTACTGAAAAATATTTTAACAGTTAGCAAAGTTAAATGTTAACATCACATGACGAGCAAGTCTTTGTTGTCTGACACTGACCTCAACAACCTGTCATGTTAAGGCATTAAATCATCAGATGAGGGTCAAGTAAACCCCAGCATTCAACACATATTGGTCTTAGTGGAATTTTTAATATTAGAATACAGACATTGTTAGTAAAACACTAAATAAAAATTGACAGATTTAGTGATTTAGTTAGAAAATTTTATTTTATGTTACAATCCCGTAGCATTTGACAACAACATTTTCATTAAAGTGTTTTTAAAAATAAAGAAAACAAAAGTAAACACAAAAAAACATAAGTTATGCTAGAAATAGGATACCAAAATGTCAGAACATAACAATTACAGCTTTATCTTTATTACCTTTTAATTTGTAACTTGTGTGTGGTGTTACTGTTTGAAAATAGAAAATAAAATACTTAAAAAAAACTTTTAAAAAACACGTTTTTCTTGTGGACTAAAAAGTAGAAAATAAATTTTCATACATTTGATGACAAAAAACGTGGGTACGTTCACCATCAAATTTCCCGACCCATCTGCCCGACCCACGTTTTTTGTCATCAAATGTATGAAAATTTATTTTCTACTTTTTAGTCCACAAGAAAAACGTGGTTTTTAAAAAAGTTTTTTTTTAAGTATTTTATTTTCTCCTTTTTAGTCCGTTGCTACACATGAAAAACGTGGTTTTTAAAAAAGTTTTTTATATAGTTTATTTTCTACTTTATCTAATGACTTGATTAAGTATGACTTGACTAAGTGTTTATAAATACACGGACTAAAAATCTTGAGCGACCAGGATTCGAACCTGGGTTGTCGCGGCCACAACGCGAAGTACTAACCACTATACGATCACAGCCAGCGCGCTCACATCGATTGGGGCCGAAGTAACTGTGTCAATAGGCCTCCAGTCTTGTCGGTATCTTTAGAAATCATGTCCTCAATTTTATGGTCCTTGGGGCGTAATTAAATTAAGCTAATTACGGTCTCTAATTGCTAGTTTTTATGATTGCATCTGAAATTGTTAGGCGAAAGTAACCTACATGCCAAATTTCAGATCTATAGAGCAATCAGAAGTGGGCTAATTTTCGATGTCAATTTTGACAACAAACACACGCGAAGCTGAGTTAATAAAAACGTGTTAAGAAAGTGGAATAGTATCAAGCATTAGAAACTGATAATTGTTTAGTTTTAGGGAATGACCCCACTTACACTTCTCAGACTGAGACCAAAGAAAAGATCAACTATAAATGTTCAGCCACAAGGATGGTCTAAATTGGGTAATTTTACTATAATAATTTATTAATAATAGTCTGCTATTATCTTTTATTTTCATTTAAATGTATGCAATAAACATCAATTTAGCTGTATTTGCAAATAAAATACCAAAATATATACAAGTGTCCTACAAGTAGAATTAATACATGCTATCCTAAAATTAATATATAGATTCTACTAGATAATGAATAAATTGAAGATTAGAATGTCTTTTCTATTGGTGCTTCAACAATTAAAAAAATATTATCATACACTATTGTGGGTAAAGTTTTCATAAATTTTTAAATTAGGTAATTTTACTATTATCATTTATTAAGAATAGTCTGCTATTACCTTTTATTTTTATTTAAATGTATGTAATAAACATCAATTTAGCTGTATTTGCATACATACAAAAATATATACAAGTGACCTGGAAGTAGAACTAAAACATGCTATCCTTCCTATTATTAATATATACAGATCATGAATTCAATAACAGTAACAATAGTAGGCACGGAGGCCTTTTTTTCACATTGGCTGTTTTAAAATATAAACAAACAACGCAACAATGTAATAACAGCATTTAAAAAAGCAATTGTGTAATAAAGAGATAGTAACAAAGCACTAAAAAATGTGGAATAATGAAATAATATTACTATAGTTATAATTCAAAACCAGATAAAATAAGAACATATTAATAGATGAATGAGAAGTGTTGCAATGAAGAAGTCATTAAATAATTGTTTTTTAGTTAAGTTTTGAATATATTTTCATATCTAGAAAGTTTTATTTTATTAGGAAGGTTGTTCCACAAATTAGAAACAGTAGGCGAAGCTATGTTTTTGGAAAAAAGTTGTATAGGGGATCAGTAAACTAAGACGAAGATTTAAATTTGTGTTAAAAGAAAAAAGGTCTGATAAGTAAGAGGGGGCTGTTCCCTGGAATATTTTATATTAAAAAATTTCTTTAGTATATATTATCTTTTTATTTAATGGAAGTATATTAGTTGTAACAAAAGAATCCAGGCTACTAGACAAGCTAGTAACCAGTTTTATTGCCCTTTTTTGTAATGACAGTAGTGGACTGGTGCGTCAACAATTTAAAAAATATTATCATACACTCTTCTCAATAAAGTTTTCATGACCAACATCAGATTTATAGAATTTATCTCCTGAATGATTTTTTTTGTGCCTACTTAAACCAGAACTATGTGAAAATCCTATATGACAAAGATCACATTCATAAGGCTTAACCACTAAATGAATTTCTTTGTGTTTGCTTAGAGCAGAACTATTTGAATACCTTTTGTGACAAACATCACATTCACAAGGCTTAACCCCTAAATGAATTTTTTTGTGTTTGCTTAGAGCAGAACTATTTGAATACCTTTTGTGACAAACATCACATTCAAAAGGCTTAACCCCTAAATGAATTTTTTTGTGTTTTATGAAATTAGAAGTGGCTGAAAACTTTTTATGACAAACATCACATTTATAAGGCTTAACCTCTAAATGAATTTTTTTGTGTGTGCTTAGATTAGAACTGTATGAAAAAAATTTATGACAAAAATCACATTCATATGGTTTAACTCCTGAATGAATTATTTTGTGTTTGCTTAGAGTAGAACTGTCTGAAAACCTTTTATGACAAACATCACATTCATGTGGCTTATCTCCTGAATGGACTTTTTTATGTTTATTTAACCTAGAACTGAATGAAAACTTTTTATGACAGAGATCACATTCATATGGTTTAACTCCTGAATGAATTTTTTTGTGTGCATTAAAATTAGAACTATCTGAAAACTTTTTATGACAAACATCACATTCATAGGGCTTAACTACTAAATGAATTTTTTTGTGATTGCTTAGAGTAGAACTGTCTGAAAACTTTTTGTGACAAAGATCACATTCATATGGTTTAACTCCTAAATGAACTTTTTTGTGTGCATTAAAATTACAACTGTATGAAAATGTTTTATGACAAACATCACATTCATAGGGCTTAACTACTAAATGAATTTTTTTGTGTTTGTTTAGAGTAGAACTGCATGAAAACTTTTTATGACAAACAACACATTCATAAGGCTTAACCCCTAAATGAATTTTTATGTGTATGCTTAGAGTAGAACTGTGTGAAAACTTTTTATGACATAGTTCACATTCATAAGGCTTAAACATTAAATGCATTTTTTTATGGTTTCCTAAACTAGAACTACCTGAAAACTTTTTATGACAAACATCACATTCATATGGTTTAACCATTAAATGGACTGTCTTATGTTTACTTAAACTAGAACTGTATGAAAACTTTTTATGACAAACATCACATTCATATGGCTTAACCATTAAATGTACTTTCTTATGTTTATTTAAACTAGAACTGTATGAAAACTTTTTATGACAAACATCACATTCATATGGCTTAACCATTAAATGGACTTTCTTATGTATACTTAAACTAGAACTGTATGAATACTGTTTATGACAAACATCACATTCATATGGCTTAAACATTAAATGTACTTTCTTATGTTTATTTAAACTAGAACTGTATGAAAACTTTTTATGACAAACATCACATTCATAAGGCTTAACCATTAAATGGACTTTCTTATGTTTACTTAAACTAGAACTGTGTGAAAACTTTTTATGACAAACATCACATTCATAAGGCTTAACAATTAAATGGATTTCCTTATGTTCACTTAAACTAGAACTGTCTGAAAACTTTTTATGACAAACATCACATTCATAAGGCTTAACCATTAAATGGACTTTCTTATGTTCACTTAAACTAGAAATGTTTGAAAACTTTTTATGACAATCATCACATTCAAGAGGCCTCTCCCCTACTTGAGCTTGTTTATGTTTATTCAAGTTAGATCTCTGAAAAAAATGTTCATGATGATCAACAGAAACAAATGTTTCGTCTTCAGAAAGTATTAGCTTTTCTTCTAGTCCTTTTTGTTGTTTGTCCTCAAAATCTATAAATTTTGTCCATAAATCTGGTTTTATATCATCACTTCTTGCTAACATTGCTAATTCTGAATTCATATCTTCTCTAGTTGATAACATTTCTAATTCTGATTTTATATCTCCAGATCTTGTACATATTGCTGATACAGCAGGTTCCATATCTTTATTAATTAAAAATCCTGTTGTTACATCTTGAGAAGTTATTAATTTCGTATTGTGTTTTACATCATCAAAAGATGAAAATGTTGTATACTCTGTTTTTGTATCTTTAGAAGATAAAAATTGTGGTGTAACATCGGTTTTAAAATCCCGTGGAGTTATAAATGTCATGTCTGGTTTCATATCATGGAAAGTCAAAATTGTTGATACTTCTGTTTTTATGTCAGTAGAAGATGAAAATAATGTAGATAGCTCTGGCTTCACATCTTTAGAATATGAAAATTCTGTTAATTCCTCTGACTGTATATCTAAATCACATGTTGCCTCTCCCATGCTGCCTTGCTTCTTATAAATTAACTGAGGATAAAATATTTTAAATGTTAATTCAAATTGTTTTCAAACTTTTAAATATTTGTATAGGCCTAGTAGCTACAGTAGATTGGAGTTTGTAGATGCCTTATAATAAATGATCTCCTTTCTGGCATTTTCATTCAGTTTTTACAGGTACTATAAAGTGTGCAGCAGTCACTAAACAAAGCCTGCCGTAACTAAGTATTTATTCTTCTGTTATAAAAATTGGGCTGAATTAAATAAAAATAAGTAGACATTTTTATAATTTGTACTACTGCTGTAACATGATTATAAATCAGGTTTTACGTTTTAATTTATAAGCCCAACAGAGCTACAATGTTTATTAATTTTTATTTATTTTTATCTATTTTGGGTCACTCTGAACACAATAACTAGAGTACCTTTATAGCTAGGTTGATGAAATTTCATATACAAGTATGATATCAAATTTGTAGATCTATATCAACTTTTCAGCAATTACCGGTAACTAAAAGTGGAACTTTTTCAACTTTCAATTTTTCAAAAGCCCATAACTTGAGTACTATTTCAGATAGATTAATGAAATTTAAACAAATAAGTAAAGGATCCAATTCTCTCCCTACTGTCAAATTTTGAGTAATTTTCGTTGACCAAAAGTAGTAATTTACGCTATTTCCGATTTCTAAAACAACGCATGTGAATTTATAAAGTACTAATAATATTCGATTGTAGGAAAAAAAGTCACAGGAAAAAAAAACACGAAAAAAAAACACAGAAAAAAAGTCACAGGAAAAAAAGTCACAAATATATATTTGCATGATATTTCTTAATACTTTTATGGATTAAATATTTAGAGAATGCAAAATAACGTAGGATTAATTAAATGTAATGGAAAGATGTGTAGGCTGTATACGCATAGTAATTTTTATAATTCATCTAAATATATTTAGTATGAAGTATGTAGATTGTAATTATGTTAAACTTAAGATTAGTTGCGTTTAATAGAATGCTCAAAAGTCCACGGTTTTAATCCTGTTTTTTTTTTTAAATACCAACATTAAATTACCGTGAAATGGTAAGTTCATCTGACTTGCTGCCCTCAACTTATGGCAACAATAGTTATGTTTAGATGTTTAGTTCAACCACTTTTACTGCCCACAATTATCACGCTCATTACATGAGAAAACTTAGGATCAAAACAGAAAGCCGACAAGGTTGAAAGGCTGTCATTGACGCATGACGTCAACAACACAAAATATGTTCGGACAATCCTACTGAGGAGAGGCCGACCAGAGAATAGCCTACGGCAAAATTTGCCTAAATTTCTTTTATAATTAAATTTTCTACCGCGTTTTTAACTAAATACGTAACAAATGTTGAGATTGTTGTGTAAATTATATTAGAGTATTTTTACTTACAATTGTTATAAACCATAATGCTTTTAACGTCTTTAATAATTTATGCTATAAAAAATACAACCCACAACAATAAACATACAAAATTTTACAATTCTAAACAAATAAATAAAAATATTTCTAAAAATATTTTAGTAAATTTTTTTCTGTGACTTTATTTCTGTGACTTTTTTTCCAATAAAATTTTTCCACTGTGACTTTTTTTCTGTGACATTTTTTCCTAGCAAAAACTGTGACTTTTTTTCTGTGTTTTTTTTTCCTGTGACTTTTTTTCCGTTTACCTAATATTCAGCACTATTATACACACATTGTTAGGTTTTTCTGGGTGGGCAAATCATTTTTAAAAGTTTAAGTTGCCATCCCCCGTAGTGTTGGATATGAATATTTGCAAAAGTTTAGGGGAGATCACTCCTGGTTTATTTTGCATTGGTGTCACCCCTCCCCTTAAATGGTGTCACCCGGTTCAGTCCGCACCCTCGCCCGCCATTCCTACGCCTCTGTGATAGAGGAAATATACAGCATGCTTAGATCATCTCACATGAGGATAAATTTTATCCTCTTCTGTTTGAGAAGAAATAAACTGATCATAATGCCTTGCTTCACTTAGTTTCTTAGACTAACCCTTACCCTTAAGCCTAAAGGCCTAGCCCCTAAGCCTAACCCTAAGTTAGATCTAATGAATTAAAAAATAATACTAATGCCATTTGCATTAATAACAAAAACAAATAACACTATCACGACATTGAAAACAGTAGGCTAAATTTGCGAGGAATGAGATATGGCCCACTAAATCTATTTCCTAGGTTGAATGCAGTCTAAAAATAGATATCATGAGGGCTCGATTTTTTTTTTGTCTTAGTAATTCAATATTGACATAAACTTTAAATGTTTTATTTCAACACCAATGTAGGCACAGTTTAATAATACAAAAAGAATAGAATCTTGGTCAATCTGGATCTAGTACTTGTAGACCGACAGTACAGTGGCAGTAGTAGGTCAGATGATAGTCCTAGATTTAGCTAGATCTTTAGAGCTATCTAATCTATCATGTGTGGTAATAGATCTAAGTTTATAAACCTATGTGAACTTACAAAAAAAAATGACCAGAAGTAGGTCTGTTTTTAAATTTGCTTGAATGGGGTGGGGGAGGGATGACATCGACAATCACAAATAGAACTTGTTTTAATTCTATGACTATACTTATACTAGATCTATAGTATAGGCCTGTTGAACTCGCCAATTTTCTAAAAAAAAAAAATCCCACATGACGTTAGTAATATGAAGAAAATAAGATGTCAAAAAAAAACAGTTTTCCGGTCGTGCAAACCCAGGGTTTGAACTCAAAGCTCCAGGGCTATGAATATTAGCTGCCACATTGTTGACTCTACCACTACCACGCCCAATGTGCTTGTAAATAAAATATTAAGCATTTTCAATCAGAAGACAGCAAATTTGAAAGGAAATAAACACTGCTTCATTAACTTACCCAGGTCAAAATATATCTTAATTTCAAACATAATGATAATATCATATTGTATTAATTTATAATTATAAGAGTTTATTAGTTAGATATGTATGGGGTGTTGAATAATATTCCAACAGATGCAACCATGCTCATTTACTATAGCAGCCATCTTGTTTAAGTTTTATTTTTATAAGCTTATAGCGCAAGATTCAGGGGAAAGCCACTCTGGCTGCTGTTTATATAGTATAGCAAATCTTGCTCTGAGACACTGCTGTTTAAAGTTAATTTCTGGCCTATATCAATATATTTGAAATTATTTATTTAGCCATTGATTTAGGTTTATTAGGGTAAAGGAGGGCGTTAAGAGCCATTTGGTATTAAGCCCCAATCAACACCCCACCCCCACAAAACCCCCAATAACACTGCTAATCTTCTTCTGAGGTAACAACCACTGCTGTTCTTTGATAACAGAGAAGCAGAGGATTCATTTTATGTAATTTATGACCCACTTGGTCCAATAGGGAGAGGATGAGGCAGGATTTAATCCCACTGCTCTTTCCCTAAAATTTCTCATCTCCATAAAACCATTTTGTGAACTTTTTTTCCAAATAGACATAACTTGGGAAACTTCACTTTGTAATAAACCAAATGACTTTTTCAAGCCCATTCTTTGTTCCTGTATTAGAGCATTGGTTGTTGTACATTTTAACACTATTTTTATAGCTATGGCTAGAATAGTTTTATTTTGGTGAATTTTTTTCGCACAGTGATTATTGGTGCCAAAACAAAATGGCCGACATTTAAAATGGTACACATACTTATTACCCCTAAGGGGCAATACAGCCGACTCAGCCCCCACCTGTTTCTAACCAACCATAAAACTTCTAATCTCTTAGTAGGTAACAGGAATAAATGTTCTTAGGTCTCAGCCAATCTGGGGTGGTATGTTTTGTAATTTATGACCCTTAAGGTCCAGCAGGGAAGTAAACAGGCACATTAATACCACTGCTCCTCTCCCCCCCCCCCCTTACAATTTCTTAAGCCCCATGATACCCAGCCCCCACCAGTTTCTGGCCCACCATAAAACTTCATCTCTTTGTAGGTAACATGGATTACAGTTACAGATCTCAGACAATCTGGGGTGGCATGTTATGTAATATAAGACCTTCATGGTCTAGCAGGGTGGAGACCAAAGAGGAATCAGTACCACTGCTCTCCCCTCACAATTTCTCACCCCCATGATACCCAGCCCCCACCTGTATCTAACCCACATTAAAACTTCATCTCTTTGTAGGTAACATGGACTTAGTTCTTAGATCTCAGCCAACCAGAGATAGCATCTCCTTATGTAATTTATGGCCCTCAGGGTCCAGCAAGGAGAACAAAGGGGAAACCAGTACCACTGCTCTCCCCTCAACATTTCTCCTCACCTCCATGTCATGTTATGTAATGTATAGCACACATGGCTTATCAGGGGAAAGCATTAAGTTAGTACCACCCCTTTTTACATACAAGAATGTTAACTCTGGACAGCTACACACTAGTATACTAGCTACACACTAGGCATACTAATGTGCCTACTGTAAACTACTAGTAACTAGACTGTGGGCCCTATGTACACCTGCAATTGTTTCCATTGTAGACTGGGCCCATTGGGGCCTAGTGATAGCTAGTGTCAGCTAAAGTGTGTGTACACAGCATTAATTATTTTGGGGTTAGAAATTAATTATTTTTATTGCGGAGTTAGTCTAAACTAGGAGATAATACTTATTGCCCCACTGCCCGGCTCCTTTCACCCCAAATGCTGATTTTGGGGGTATAACTTAAACCCATTTGAAGTATATTTAATAGACTTTGTTATTATTTTTATATTGTGTAAGATATGTTAGAATAATTTTGCCATATTTTCAATACTAAAAAATTCTTAGATTAGTAGAAATCTTTAAAAATGTATAGGTGCTAAAAAGTGTGGCTCTTTATTTAGTTTTTCTCACTAAATCTAGAATTTACGCAATTATCAATTTAAACATGACCACTGAATAATAGACATCCATATTTAATCCATTAGGCACTAACTTTGGAGTTTTTAGTTCGTTTTAAACTAAATTACTTAATTTAATATTTATTGTCAATCACTGCCATGTCCAACACATCTCTCCATGACAACTCTTCTTAAGCTTGAAGCTAAAGAAAACCACAAATCAAGTTAGACTTTTTAAGTGGCCATGCACAAGAGTTCCTCACTAGTGATCACCAAATAGTGGTCACGTGGTTTTTTTTTTTTTTTTAAATTTGGTTGTCATTTTTTCGGCTGGTCTCATAATAAAACGGTTGACGCTATTTGATTTATTTTTTCATAGACTGATAAAACTAATAATGCTTTAGTATGGAAATCAATTTTGTAATATAGAAATCGATATTTAAAAAGTTCTAGTATTTTTGATGAAACCAACTTTTAAATTTAGCCTTCATTCTCCAACGCAAATTTTTTTAAAATGCTTTTCTGGCATATATAGCCCTGCCACCTATAGCTTGTTGTTATA